AGAGAGAGAGAGAGAGAGAGAGAGAGAGAGAGAGAGAGAGAGAGAGAGAGAGTGGTGAAGCGCACAGCAGATTACTATTTTCCGCATCAATTATATTCAGACATCTGAATATAATTCTGTTTTCTCCGCGCCGACCATCTTTGATTATTAGCGTTTCCGCCATTTAATAATGCCACGAAGTGTCGTCGAAGCATCGCAATAATTGGCCAATCTGCCACCTTCAGTCACGCTTCATTACATTCTCCACGCTTAATATCGAGGAAAGATATGCTGGCACTTTGGTGGAACGGGGAAATAGCGGGAAAACAACGGGGAAATAGAGAAATTGCAATTAAAAGGTGTACCTGTTACTGCGTGCGTGCCAAACGATGCTTCGCGCCGAGCGACTAGCATGACATCTGTGAGCGCTGTTTTCGTACATGATGCAACACGTGACCGCTGGCGTCAGTGCGCAGGGACTATGTCCCTGGTGGATGTCGACATTCGCGGTCGCGGTGGTATGACAGCGAAAATTTTCGTGTGACAGTTGGAGAACACAGTGCGCGAGAATCCGACACGATGACAGTGTAAGACGAGTCCGCGTATCGACGCACGTCAAGCTCTTCACGTAATTCCCGTTACGACGTGTCACGCTAAAATGCCGGACAAAGAGGAGAACTTTTGCGAGAAAATGGCAAAAGCCACCAGGGGAATACACGCGATCAGCGATGCCCTAGTAAACGCAAAACTGGCATTCGGTAAGACACATCTCCTTGGAAATCCTTGGGAATATCTAGGTAGATTTTTAGCGTTTCGCTCGTATATCTGGCTGCAAGTTGCGTGATTGATTGCATTCTAATAAGACAGTCTGTAAATATTCTTACACTGAGGCAAACAAAAGTCCTATAATAGCAAAGGTAATTATTCAGTTTAGTGACCTCACCTCCAATTTCGATGAAAGTAGGCTCAATCGACGCGTTTTTGTTAAGGAAACAACTTTCTTATTTGACAAAATCGTCACTTTTTATTGCGAAGCGAGATATTAATAGACAAAGTGGAGGGTGCGTTAGGTTAGAAAATCTGTCATACCGTCCATCTCTAGCTGTATGACTGGGGGGCTTCGCTCCCAGGACCCCCCGCACCGCAGCGGGATGGGGGCTGCAATCTCTTGTGCTTAAGCTAAAGAGTGAATTTCTCACAAAAGACTGCGGCTCCTACCCCGTCACGATGCGGGGGGTCTGGGGGGCGAAGCCCCCAGTCACACAACTAGAGATAGGGCGCGTTCCGTTACACCCTCGCAATGCTCACAAACGTCATTCTATCTTTGTTGCTCATGGATGTTAAACGAAGATAGAATGACGCTCGCGAGCATGTAACGGAACGCGCCCATAGACGGTATGACAGATTTTCTAACCTAACGCGCCGTTCACTTTGTTGGCTAATATCTCGCTACTCGGTATAGAGCGACAATTTTGTCAGAGGAAAAAGTTGTTTCTCGTGCAAAAACGTGTCGATTAAGCCTATTTTTAATCGGAGGTGAGGTCACTAAACTGAATAATTACCATAGCAAAAAGCATGATTTATAAATATTGGGTTATATTTGTTGTATAGTCATAATGCCAAGCTTTGTATTATATGAGGTCTTGTGTACTCTCTATCAGGCTTCCTTGATGACTCTATATGGGCTGACGGGCTTCTGGTCTTCTATGAGGTGTTTCGCTACTTGGAGGGTGCAATGATTAGATTAAAGAACACCAAAATTGGATTGCTTTCACTCAGTGAGCTTCAACGTACAGAGGCTTTCGAGCAAGATCTTGATCATTACTTGGGAAAGGGGTGGAGAAAGAACTATAGTCCTAGGTATATGTTGTATGGAGTAAATATAGCAACAAGTAGGATAAAAGTTCAATGACTTTTTCATGGATTTTATCAAATATGAAAGTGTATGGAAATTTATTAATTATTATTTTAATCTCTTAATCATCTTAATTAAATTGAATTTATTTGAAAAAAAAATTTTTAGTCTTATAAACTTATCTTAAGATAAAAGTACCAATGCTTGGACGCTAACTGGTTAACTTTGAATATTTTTACTGTTTTGGTTTTTAAAATTCCTAGTCCTTTATTATGGAACTTTTGATTGATGGCTTCAAAAACGAGGAAATGTATGCCCAAGATTTCTGCAAAGTATGTCAAAATAAAAAGATATGCCCAAGATATGACACTTGCATACAATCAAGTACGCTTATATTTCAAATGCTTTCCTTTTGCTCTAAAAATCAATAAATAACCGTAAAATTAATGTAATATGCAAACATTCTTTTTAATTTATATTCTCCTCATTATTTTGTAATGTTAATTTCACAGTTATTTATTGATTATTAGAGCAAAAGAAATGCATTTGGAGTATTTTAGAGATGCGTTTAATCAATTGCAAATATATTTTGAATATATCTTTTTGACATGCTTTGTAGAAATTTTGAGCATACATTTCGTCCTTCCTGACGTCATAAATCAAGATCATCGCGGCGAAAGATTAGGAACCTTAAATATGAATATTTTAATATATACCTAAACTTTCATGTGTGTATAATTATCACTACATAAGACAATCAATAATGAAAACTGCACAATTTCTTTAATTACGTTTATATGAAATAAATATACTGTATTGAATTAATTATTAAATTTACATCAATTACAATATATAAGTTTTCTGTTATATTGATGTAACAAAAGATTTATTAAAAATTATACTTAGATTTTCATATTATCATGATATATTGTTTGGAACAAATTTTGGAAAATTTTTTAATATTTTTATTTCTTTCATTATTCTATGTGATAAATATAAGTGTAATATAATCAGTCGTAAGGAACTCAACGCTGCTGAATTTCGTGATATTTAAAGTCGCCGTAAAGTTTATATATATATTAGTTTATCACAGGTACATGTATATATACATATATTCTAAATTAAAAGTTTAAATTCGTATCTGAAAATAAAACAATAAGAAGTACAAGTACAAGTATTATTAGTGTCCAGATGTTGGTACTTTTACCTTAATATTTAATAAAAGTCCATGTGAGACTGCTGAAAATAGGCAAAGTGCCAGTACTGGACGTTTAGTCCTACCATCACTTTATATTTACTTTTTTTATATATATTTGATACGATTCAAATGAGCATCTACATTGAATACAAATATCATAGTTTGTGGGTATGCATGTGATCATGAAAGATAAATTTATCAGTAATAAAATATATCCGAAGAATCTTTCTAATTTGTAAAAATATTACAAATTGCAGAGACAGTGTTGCCAAGTATCTAATGCGTTTGAGAGAAGTGGAAGACACAGATCCTACTTTGCTAATGGCGTATATTTATCATCTTTACATGGGCCTCCTCAGTGGTGGTATGATCCTGCGCAAAAAGAGGCAGTTTATGCAGAAAGTTTCGCTTTTTAAAGCGTCACCGTCAAATGGCAATAATGTTACGAACTTTGGGCAAAGCAATATATTTCAGTTGAAGCGTGATCTGCGCGAATCGATGAACAAAATCGCGGAGACGTTGGACGAGGACACAAAGAATAAACTCATCGAAGAAAGTAAAATAGTCTTTGAATTGAATAACGAAATTGTCAAAAGTGTGCAGACAGGCACTCGCGTCTTTGAGAAAATCGTCTTCATCGGCCATATCGTGCTAATCGTCTTTGTTGTGGTAATCGCCCTCAATATCCTCTTCAAATACATTATATGTTAATAAACGTTAATAAACGTTAATAAACGTTAATTCAATTAACGTTATCTTGTTGAATACAATAGAGGCTCTTCTGTTAGGCAGGAAAGCGCTGATATCAAAACCAAATTATAATGCATAATATTATTTATGCGCTGTATAATCGCCTTTTTACAGTTATAAATGTAGATCAGCATTACTTGTATGACATGAGTTTTAAGGACAATCTGTTTTCTAAAGCTTATTAAAGCCATCATGAACATTGGATTACCAAGATTTCATAATAAAAGAACAAATTCCACTTGAAAGAATACTTCGTAGTAAATCCGCGTCTCTTTCATCGCAATAGATTATAGCTGAATGTATTACATTCGCTCCTACGTTAGAGTATCTGGATGTCCAATTTAATTCATTTTTCTGTACACTCAGTTGCGTTGATGCTATACCATTCCCCAGATCGATAGTCATTAAAAAGTTTTAACCAGCCATGTTCGTTTCTAGTTGATCATTTTTCATGATTGTTGATTCATCCGGCAAGCGGGAATGTGTCAAAATAGAAGTGATATTTTGACAGCTTGACGTTTCATACATACGTGTTTTTATCAGAAGATTATCCGCTCACGTGTAACGCGCAATTAGTAGAATAAGAGTAAGAATGTTAAAAAAAAGTAAGTAAGAAATTAATATACAAAATTATAATAAATTTATACACATATAGACATAAAGTCTCTGCTTTTAATATTTTCACTCAAATTATTTGCTCTCAAATTATTTGTTATTAATAAACATTCTATTTTATTCCAATAAAGTAAAAACTTCATACATATCTTTTTTAATATTCGTATTCTTCTTCTACTGATTGCGCGTTACACGTGAGCGGATAAACTTCTGATAAAAACACGTATGTATGAAACGTCAAGCTGTCAAAATGTCACTTCTATTTTGACACATTCCCGCTTGCCAGATGAATCAACAGTTATGAAAAATGATCAGCTAGAAACAGACACGGGTGGTCAAAACTTTCTAGTGACTATCGATCTGGGGAATGGTATAGCATCAACGCAACTAAGTGTACAGCTATATATAGAGAGAGAGACTATATACCTACATAGAGACAATCGAGAATCGCTCTATTAAATTTAAAATTATCCCAAGTTTTCGAACGAATTTCTGCGGGATAGCCTTGAACGTCCACATTCTTCGTTATGAATGGTGAACAGTTGTGTTCTAGATCGAAGGGCGGTGGTGGAATGGTCTTAAAGTCTTTTTGTAGTTTGCGAGCGGCGTCTCCGAACAACAGCGGCTTGATATTTCCCTCTGGTAGGCTTTTTTTGCGAGGACCTGCAAACAATGTGTTTCTGTATAATACTATTGTTATTGAATAACATATTAAAAGAGAAAAAGTATGTGTGTATATGCGTGTCGTGTACGTCTGTGGCATTTAGATTGTAAGCATTAAGGCTTCTGGCTACTCGTCGCGGTCATCTTGATTTGTAACATTAAAAGCGAAGAAATGCATGCTGAAATTTCTGAACAAATTTTCAACAAATAGCCATAAAATTAACATGACAAAATAATAAGGAAATGTAAGTTAAAAAGGGAAGTCGCGTATCATGTTAATTTTAATGTTAATGATTATTTATTTGTTAGAGCTATAGGAAAATGTCGGGAATACTTTAGAAATGTGTGCTTAATCGATTGCAGGTATTATTTTTTGGATATATCTTTTCATTTCGATACTTTCAATTTTTTTATACTTTGCAGAAACTTTGGCCATGCATTTTCTTACTTCTGGCGTCATCAATCAAGTGTTTCGCGGCGTACAGTTAAGAGTTTTAAGTACAAAGTACCTTTTACTTCTTTCTCCGACGATTGCATTTTGTAACTGAAATCGGTGCACTTGATCGATTGAATCGCAGGATCATTGAGGAATGTACATGGCTGCTGCTGTTGAGGACTATCAATTAACTGTTTCGCGAGAACTAAAGGCGATTGATCCTCATCGTGATCGCCGAATAGATTCCTTTTCAACGCAGCCTTCGACGGAGTGTTTTTATTATCGTGCACACCGCGACGATTACGAGCTGGAGAGGTGTTCGACTGACGACTGTTTTTAAACTCTTTAAAATCTGGAATTTCATTCTGTAAGTGCCATACCAGAACATACGTGAGAATTAGTTTATATTGCAGCGTACACAAATCACAGAAATAAAGACGCAAAATATGATTTGCCTACCTGTACCGAGTGGGGAAATAATTGCTGTTGTCGTTTACTCTTCGGAACCGTTTCGACGTCTCCTAAGGACTTATGCCTATGTCTTCGAGTCGTCGTAACGTTCCTCTCGCGTTGCTGCTTCTCTTGTATCCATCGCTTTATTCGTCTGAACAAAATTAACAATATCAATACACATGTGCTACAAGTTTTTAACATGTTGATTGCCACACTGACTTCCATTAATTATATTGATCTACAGAAGAAAACTTTTTGTCACGTGGATCAAATTGTATGATCTTCACAATCAATATTTTTTAAACTGAATTAAAAATGCCTACATCTTTCTCTATCACCCAGAAGTTTTCAGTGGTGTGATTTCTAAGTTTTAAGGAAATTAATTTTTTCTTTAGGTATACAAATAAATATGGATCACCTAATTTAAAATGTAGAAACTACACATAGAAAAATAGATATTATATATTGAGTAAATGTTAGTTGTTTCATAAGTTTATATATACGAAAATCTACCATAAATTTATCATAAGCATCAAATTCCAAAAATATGTATATTTTTTTTTCAATTCTATTAAAGATTAACATTTCAATGAAGAATATTAAATTATAACAAACATTTGGTTTGCTTAATACATAAAGTCAAACCAATTTTTTCTTTGATAAAGTTTTACGATATTCTTGTAAAGAGAATAAATTCTCCTTTCGAATGCATGATAATAAACTTTTCTCAAATTTGTAGTGAGTATATTTTAACACTATTATCAAGAAAATATTCTTTGTTGAAGATAACAATTACTTAAAATAAAGAAAGTAAACTGAGTAATCACTTTTCTTAACAGAGTAAAATGATATTTTTGTGTGTGATGATTTTTTGATGTATTTGGATCACATGTCTTCTTTTAAAATAAAAAAATATATTAGTTTTTATCTTGTGTCTAATTAATTGGAGAAAAATTGCGTGAAAGAAGAAAAATTGTTAATTTTAATTTTATAGATAAATATATTATTTGAATGGAGAAGCTTTTAGAAGATACTTAATATTAATAGTACCCTTTAATATGAAAAATTTAGAATTAAATATTATTGCGAATTTGCGTGGAAATCCCATGTACATATATATATATACAATATGTAAAATCTCCGAGGATTGTAACAAAAAAAACTGTAGGTGATGGAGAAATTCTAAGTTTATTTTCAGAATCTACATAAAAACACATAAGACGTCAGAAATTCCATATGATAAACTATTTATTGACCAATTGACTTATTTTAATACTTAAGGTTCCCGATTTCTCGCCGCGGAACTCTCGATTGATAACGTAAGAAGCGAAAAAATATACGTTAAAAATCCTTGTAAAATACGTTGAAATAAAAAGACACTTATAAAATGATACTTGTAATTGATTAGACATATTTGTAAAATAATCTGAATGCTTTCCTTTTGCTCTCTAACAATCAATAAATCACTATAAAATTAACGTGACTTACTTTTTTTACTTACTGTTTCTCATGATTTTATCATGTTTCAAAGATAGTTTTTGGAGCATTTTACGCAAGTATGCTCAAGCAATCTGAAGTGTTCTTTCATACAAATATTGTTTTATTTTAAAATATTGTGCATGAATTTTTGGCACAAATTTTCATGTTTGATAAAATTCTATCTCATCAATCCAGAGTTCTGCAGCAATGGCACCAAGAATCTTAACCCTTTATTTGACAGACCAAAAAATTTAAAGAAAAAAATCTTGAGTGTTAAATAAAATAAAAAAAAATGATGTGTCTTCTGAATTCAGTTATATTGTTTCCACAATATTGTTTTAAAGATATATTTTCAACGATTTTTGTTATCTAGTAGCAAAAATTAAAACTATTGAGATAACACAAACAGGTAACCAGGGTTGCATTCTGATATTCACTGCCACTACTGAAAAAAATCTATGTTATACGTGATATGAACTATAGATTTTTAATACTTACAATGAATATCAGAATATAGCCTGAACGTTGTTCCAAAGTATTAGTGTTAAATAAATGCTCCCTGCATCTTTTGTATCATAACTGCATTTTTTGTATCATAACTTATGAGAAATCAGTGTTGCTTGAAAGGAACATTACCAAATAAAAGGTTAATAAACGTTTAATATTCTGTTATAAATACTTACTTGACAAAAGGTACCACCATAAAAAATGCATTTGGCCCGACGCCAATCTTTACTTTAGGAGTCATGTCCTTTTTGTTATTTGGCAAATCTGCCACATCAAACCATTCGACATTCTTGATTTCTTTCCGCGTTTTTGGCTGGAACTTGGTGTCTTGCTGCACACCAGAGATTATGTACAATCTCACCACTTGATCGTTTATTGCAGATTCAATGTACTCGTTTTTGTCAATCAAATTGGATATATCAAAGCCAGTCTCTTCCAAGACCTCTCGTACTGCACAATGCAGAGGTTCCTCATCTTCGTTTACTTTCCCTTTGGGAAAGCTCCAGCTGTTCCTTGCCCAGTAACTTTGAACCAAGAGTACCTTGGTCATATTTTCATTTAATACAATTGCACCAAATGTTGGCACATTCTGCTTGTACTCTCTCCATTGTTCTAGCACAGCGTCAATATGGGGCACATGTGGTATTAAAAAAGGTATGTGCTGAAATATATGCGTAGCAAAGTCCTTCATATTACATGGCTTCAACTTGGGATTTTCTTCAGTGCAGTAGAAGTCCAAGTAAAACCAGTGTGCCAATTCGATTTGAAAGCATATTCGCACCAAGTCTTTTCTTTCTTCCTCAGGTACGTTAATGATAAATCGACTGCAACAATAATGTCGATAGATAATAGTCATATGAATAGTCATAGAAGTCAGATGTATCATAACATACTTAAATATTAAATTATCGTTATTATTGTATAAGATATCAAATAAAGAAACCAACCTACTAAGATCGTCGAGGATGTCGGACGGAATTGTATGCTCCATTATTTCTCATTAACCATTCTCTTTGATACTTGATATATAACGTTGCATACTGTAGGGACAATATAGCGATATAATCAGCAAAAGATTGGCTTCGAATATAGGTGTTAAGTTAAAACACAAAATCTTTTATGAATATACAAATGTATGAAAATGTAATAAAAGTTTTCAGAAATGCAATATAAAAGTACAACAAATAATAACAGTTTAATGTTGTTATCCCATTTGTAAAGTTACATAATCAGTAAATTGCTTATAGCGAGTGATGAAAAAAATTTGTTAAAAACGCAATTACGTTTCTACACTTGATATAAGCGAAGAATGAGGGGAAATATAAAATTAAATAAGTAATTATTGAAGATGTAATTATTGTGGTTGTGCAGAATTGTAAGTAAAAATTGAGTCAATAAACACTAGAAACTATGTTATTTAATCGCAACCTGTCAACCAACCTAATCTACTGCGCCGGTACCATGCCCGGTATTCATAGGGCGCGTTCCATAAAGCCGGTATCACACTATAGATTAGGATTGAGATTGAATTGAAATTTAGTCAATCGAAACAAAATTTGCTAAGCTCAAGTTTGGTGAACTTTACTCTGATTGGCCACTTTTCAATTCAATCTCAATCTTAATCCATAGTTTGATACGGGCTTAACACGCTCGCAACGCTCGCGAGCGTCTATCTTCGTTTAACATCTATGAGCAACAAAGATAGAATAATGTTTGCGAGGGGAGCGTCCCAATTGCCTACATACGATTGCACACAAACCAATCGATGATAAGAATTATCTAGTGAATTACCAGATCGAACCAATCATTACAATTTGTGGTCAATCGTACTGTCGGCAATCGGGACCCTCCCGCTTTTTATATATATATATATATATATATATATATATATATATATATATATATATATAAAAGCATTTGTTCTGCATTGGCGTCGCAATGTCTAAATCCGTATATATTTATGCCAGTCAATCAACTAGTTACGTGACCAAGTTGGCGATTCTCTGTACTAGAGATTCTCTAGCTTTGACTATGGTTGCGTTCTGTTTCACGCATTATGCGCGCATTGCCTACAATATACGTAACACGAACTATAGATAAATGCGCGCATATGCGTGAAACGGAACGCGGTCTAGGTTAGGGTACCGTTGAGGTTAGGTACTGAAAAGCGCATAGTCATTTAAAGATGGATGCCATGTGACACAGGATCGAGAATCCATGCGATTTTTACAAATAAATGAACGGCATTTGAGAATTCAATTGAGAATTCAATTGAGAATTGAATTGGGGATTCTATTGTTATCTCAACA